TGGAAGATTATCTGATTTTGACATGCACCCCCGGTCGGGTGGGCACCTGACCCGGTCGGGTACCCGGCCCAAGGTGTTGAAAAACACCTATAAATAGCACACTTTTCCTTCACAAATAATCATTCCTTCTTCCATACTCTTAAGTTCGGTTTAGAATAGCATTTCTTTATATTTTTCTATCATGTTTAGTCTCCAAATGAGGAGCTAAACTCTCATTTCTTGGTTTTGCTCTTGAAGCTTGTTGATTATTAAAGTTGTGAGTTATTTTCTTAACTTCTTCTCTTGATCATTAATTCTTCCCTAAATCTCATTCTATATTAATGTTGGAGGGTTGCTAAGTGACAATTAGTTAACGTTCCGACATTAATTATTACTAGAAACGGTCAACAACCCGATGGTTAATCGTTGATGGTTTCACAAGTAAGTAACTTTGGTTTATTAATGCACGGTCGTGGTTAATAAACTTAAGAGAGATTAATTTTGTTGGTTAAACCGAAACCGTTGTGTTGAGGTTATCAATCTCAATTGATTTCATCAAGGAGCTTAAGAGATTAAATGCTACTATTAAATCAGTATACGGCATTGTTCTATATTTGATTAATAGTAAGGGTTGTTAATGAACGGTCGTTGTTAATAACTATCCTCGATGAATTGTAGATACTCCTCGATTGAGTATTCGAGAGGGGATAAGTTATAGATATAACAATGATAGACTAAAATATATCAACAAGTGGAAAGTAGCAAAGCCAAGTTCTTTTTATTCTTGAATTAAATCTCATATAAGTCGTTCATCTTTGTGTTTAATTAAATTAAATCACTCAATCCCAAAACCCCCCTTTATTTACTAGTTTTATTAAAAAGAGAATTATTCCTTTCCCTGTGGATACGAACTCTATTTCACCTATACTACGTATAAGTGTTAGTATCGATTTATTTTGACGCACCGTGACAAAGTGCTCGTCAAATTTGGCGCCGTTGCCGGGGAAAGGCAATTATTTTTCTTTTTAATTTATCTCATAAAAATAAAAAATAATATATATATATATATATATATATATATATAGACAAAAGTTCATGTCCGGAATTCCGGACAGGAACCGCCGTCCGGACGGCGGCGTTTGGCCCCCTTCCCGGTGGAATTTTTTGATGAAATTTTTATGGAATGTTCTCCATCAAGTCTAGTTTATCCACAAAAAAATTCAGCCAAAACCTCAATCGGGAAGGTCGTCAAATGATTTTTGCAAGTTAACTGGTCCGGAATATGTATTTTCCGGACCAGTTAACTTGCAAAAATCATTTGACGACCTTCCCGAATGAGTTTTTGGCTGAATTTTTTTGTGGATAAACTAGACTTGATGGAGAACATGTCATAAAAATTTCATTGAAAAATTCCACCCGGAAGGCGGCCAAACGACGCCGTCCGGACGGCGGTTCCGGTCAGGAATTCCTGACCGGAAGAGTACTCTATATATATATATATATATATATATATATATATATATATTACTCTTCTATTTTCTGAGCTTACATGAGTTATGAGTATATGGATACCAACACTTAATCCTTAGAGAGTCAAATTTCCTTCTTGACTTCTCTAATAAAGGAATGTATCTTTAGCTCAAAAGCTCAAGATGCCAAGGCATGCAACATTTGCATGTCTCACAGGCATCTTACGGATTTCTGCTCAAAGCTCCAAGATGAATACCTTGAACAAATTGATGATGTTGGTTACGAAAGGGATGTACCTCACATGAGGTATGATCCGTTGTCCAACTCTAACATGTCTACGGAGGATATGGTCTGGGCTATTGCTACCAACATGACCACCATGCAAAACAACATGGTGCAATTCCAAAATGAGACCAAGTCTAGCATTTCAAACTTGGAAACTCAAGTGATTCAAATAGCCGGAGCCGTAAGTAGGCATGAAGCAACGGATTCGGAAAAACTTCCCTCTCAAATAGAATGTGATCCTAAACAGCAAACTTTTGCAATCACATTGACAAATGAGAAGGAAATGCAAAAGGAGATCCAAAATGAAGAAGAAGGAGAAGGAGAAGGAGAAGGAGAAGGAGAAGGAGAAGGAGAAGGAGAAGGAGAAAGAGAAGGAGAAGGAGAAGGAGAAGGAGAAGGAGAAGAAGAAGGAGAAGAAGAAGAAGAAGAAGACAAAAAATGGGCATGGAAGACCCTAAAACTCAAGAAGATGATTGTTATGTTTGAGCAACTCAATGTAAACTCATTTGTTATCTTTGTTGGTCTTTTGCTCTTTCTTGTTGATTTTTGAACTATTGAGGACTTTGAACTTCCTAAACATTTGGCTTTACTCGAGCACGAGTAAAGAAACTAAGTGTGGGGGAATTGATACTCTTATAATTTCCAATTGTATGTTTGCATTTTTAATTAGTATGGTTGTTCGTTAGTTTGGAAATTACACACTTTTGGTGTAATGTTTTACTTTGTTAAAATATTGTAATTTGTTTAGATTAGGATTTTTCTGAGCTTAAGACATGTCAAAATCATTCCAGGAAAACCAGAGGAACACGGACGAGCGGTCATGATAACCAAACAAGAAATCAAAAGGGGTGAAGAATACCTGAGAATAGAAACCCTAGAGAGAAGGCAGAGCAAAGGCACAAATGAAGCAAAGTTTTGAAACCCAGAACCGGAGGTTTAAGGGCCTATTTATAGCCTGGCAATATCAGAGGATCAAGGAATGGATCCCAAAGACCAAAGTGTGTGCAAAGGAACAAGATCAAACAAGGATTTGAAAAAATGTTCATATACCTGGTCGGGTATTGACTAGATTTGTATGTCAAAATCAAATCCGAAGAAGAAATGATCGTGGCTTCAAAATATTCGAAGATTTGGTCTCATACCCGGTCGGGTATGAGTGATTTTTACAGTTTCCGGGAAGCTGCAAAATTCTTCCCAACCCGATCGGGTACACAACCCTGTCACCTTCAAACACCTATTGATACACTTCTTTTCCTTCACATTCAATTCACCAATTCACATATACTCTTAAGATCTGTTTAGATTAGCTATGTCTTTATATTTTCTAGCATGTTTAGTCTCCAAATGAGGAGCTAAACTTCTATTTCTTGATTCTGATCTTGAAGCTTGTTGAATGTTAAAGTTGTGAGTTATTTTCTTAACTTCTTCTCTTTAATATTAATTCTCCCCTTAATCTTATTTCTATATTAATGTTGGGGTGTTGCTAAGTGACGATTAGTTGACGCTTCGACATTAATTATTACTAGAAATGATCAATAAACTGATGGTTAATTGTTGATGGTTTCACAAGTAATTAACTTCGGTTTATTAATGCACATTTGTGGTTAATAAACTTAAGAGTGATTAATTGTGTTGGTTAAACGGAAACTGTTGTGTTGAGGTCATCAATCCCAAATGATTTCATCAAGGAGTTAAAAGATTAAATGCTACTATTAAGTCGGTATACGACGTTGTTCTATATTTGGCTAATAGTAAGGGTTGTTAATGAACGAACATTATTAATAACTACCCTCAATGAATTGGAGATAAGTTAAAGATATAACCGGGATCGACTAACATCTCAACAAGTGGAAAGTAGCAAAGCCAAGTTCTTTATCTCTTTGAAATAAAACACATATAAGTCGTTCATCTTGGTGTTTAATTAAATCAAATCACACCATCCCAAAACCCCCTTTTAATTACTAGTTTCACAAAAGAAAAGTATTCATTTCCGTGTAGATATGAACTCTACTACATTATACTACGTATAAGTGTTTAGTATTGAATTTATTTTGAGGCTCATACGACTTTAGTGTCATCATCTTGACATCTTGACCTTTTGAACATAAGATAAACTCCTTTATTAAAGAAGCCAAGCCAGAAATTTGACTATCTAGGGATGATGTATCCTATACTCTCACAAGCCAGAAATAAACTCCTTTGTTTACAAATTCTTCAAAGTTGCTAGAAATTGGTTTACTTATATATGTTTTTGAAATTAATTTTTCATGAATTTTTACCATATACTCTCACAATGCATAGAAAGCAAAAGTAAATATCTTTTTTCCTTTTTCTTTTTCACTTCTCGAAAGAAAAATTATTTCATTTCTCCGGCAACTAGTAATTTTTCTTTTTAGAAAAATTATTCTTTTTGACAGCACTAAAATCGTATGTGTCTTAAAATAAATTCAATACTAACACTTATACGTAGTATAGCGTAGTAGAGTTGGTATCCACGGGAGAAAAATATTTCTCTTTTATGAAATTGTAACCAAACGGGGGGGGGGGGGGGTAAACTTATATTTTGTGGAGATGATCTACACTTGAAGAAGAACATGATAAAAACATTTCATCAAAAAAATCGACTTGGAAGCCCCTCAAATGGGCTTAGCCGGACGGCGGGTCCTGTTAAGCCAGCTTGACATGATCATTACTCTGTATATATAACATGAGAAAACTCACATTTAAATCAATGTGGTACACAATGGAACTCTATTGTTGCACATTTTTCACTTTGTTCAAAATAAGCCAATATTGAATAAACACGGTGGCATTTTGGTAAATATTATGACTATCCGAAAAAGTGCAATATTCGAGCTTTATTTTACATCACGTTGGAGTAAATGTGGTGTTTCAGCATAATTCAATTCAGTATATTGCAGTTGGAGATGAATTTAACATGTTTTCTTTTGGACTGAAGTTTGTTGGTCTAGTCTGGTCTATCGGTATGTTTATGTTTCGTCTAGTCAGGTCTGAATTGGTCTAGTCTGGTAAACGTCTGGTCTCTGTGTATTTTATATTTGTCCAAGTCTCATTTGGTCTGATATGTTTGTTTAATCTGGTCTATTTAAGTCTGGTCTGATCTGGTATTAAAAAATGTAACAACAATTTAGTTTCTATTTACTTTTCGTGTTGAGAGACAGTTTCTATTCACTTTTAATTCAAAGTGAATAAATAAACTCATTCAAAGGGAAAATAAATAAATAAATAAAAAAACATCCATTCATCCAATCAACAGCATCTATATCAATTAAGGAGAGAAAATGAAATTATGTTTATAATGGAGGTCTTCGTGCACTTGAGTCTGAAACCAACCAAGGATATTTTTTTTATTAATCAATTTGTCGACTTAATGGTCATATATGTGTATATATTGCTCAACGGTACAAAACAATTAAACTCAACTCAAACTGCAGAATTACAAATTCCTATAGTATTACATTTTTCAGAAGCCTTTCTCTTCTTACTTACCTTTTTCTCCTCTTTGGACTGAGAATAAAATCATCATCATCATCACTGTCGTATTTGATTTGTTGCTTTCCTTTTATTTCACCATTTTTGGGGACCAATTGGGTTTCCTTTGAATTCCCAATAGATAATGGCAGCAAAGGAGACTTGACAGGAGTTCCTGTCCTAAGTTGCTTTTGCTTCCTCTGTTTCTTCTCAAATGCCTTTTTGGCCCTTTCAGGTGATAGCAGGCCATGTTCCATCAACCTGTAAGTAAATATGCATCACTATTAACGAATGTTCTAAAAGGCGCTAAGCGTTAGGACTATCCTTAGGCACAAGGCGGATTAGTAGGAAACATAAAAATTATAATTTCATCAATATTTTTGCATAAATATGAATAGATAATATTTTATTTGTGTGTGTTTATACACACATTAACATGCATGAAGGATAGAATCGTCAAATTATAATTAATCACTTAACTTCATCTTTACAAGTTTATGTGTGTCTTTTATCTTCTTAATCTCTCCATGTTTTTATGTTTTTTATCATTTATCTATCTTATGTTATTTTATCTTTTTATCTTTTATCTATTTTATGTTCTTAAGTTATTTTTATCTTATATTTATTTTTATCTTATCCATTTTATCTTACCTTATCTTTTTATTTTTCTGTTATTTCTTTTCTTTTTGGCTCTGATAACGTGAATTGATTCATGTTAGCCGACCCCAAAATCTTTTGAGAATAAAGCTTGGATGTTGTTGTTGTTGTAATCACTTAACTTCATTATGCAAAAATTACTAAATAATAATAAAATTTAAGAATATATACAAACATATAAAGTTTTTTTCTTAATCTAAGTAGTTTTCTTCATATTCGTGGTTAAAGTTAAAAACACATATATATCTCTTAGAAAAATAAAAAATAAAAGAAAAAAAAACGCCTCATAGAAAAATAAGAAAAAGCAACAAAAACGGGAAAAAATTGATAATTTTTGGAATACAAAGGAATGACTACAAAGGTTCAGCAGTTTAAGCATAGCTTAATTTTCAAGTTAATTTCATTGCATCTTTTGTTTGCTTTCCTCATAGAAGTAGTCCATCTTATATGTTGGTTTGTACATTTATATTTTTCCATGTGGTCGTTTTTAGACTTACCGACAATGAATTACTCGTTTGAGCTTCATGTATGTTATAGTACCATACTTAAGACTTGATATACCAGTGTAAAAGATCAGCAGAATAGAATAAGAATGTATATGTTGGTATGTATAGTTATATAAAGTGGAATGACTTAACCCAAAGCACAAACAAAGAGTTCCGACTTCCAAAAGTTCAATGAATCTACAAAAAAACAGTTATTGAGCATTTGTTGCACAATAGATAGACACATATCATCCCGCACTCCCGCTCGTGCACAAGAAAATTAGAATTGCAATAAATGAAACTTTATAGGCAGCCTAGAACATAAAACAGCTACCAAAAAGATTATTCCTCTATATCCTTGGCAGAAAAATGGGTTGATGCATATCAATAAGGAAGTGTTCAAGAAAATCTACATTTAAAACAATTTTCAGATTGAATAGTAGTTAGCCGAAGGAGGAGAGAGCCAGGTGCATTGTGAGGAGTAAGTGTATAACTGATCCAATTCTGCATCAATTAAAGTCATTATTCTTATCAGGAAAATAATTAGCAAATTCAGAGTTGAGATATTGACCAGGTCAAATTTCATTTCTTAATAAAAGGGCAGCCCGGTGCACATTAGCATCCCCGCAAGGAGAGGGTTCGGGGAAGGGTCCCACCACAACGGGTATAAGGAGCAAGCCTTCCCTTGTCATTTTGACAAGAGGCTGCTCGCAAGACTTGATCCTGTGACCTCTCGGTCAAATTTCATTTCTTAATCAACCCAAAAAAATGAAAAAGAATTTACTCATGTAGCAGCCACCAAAAGCTTGTGATACGGTGACGCTTGCATTTGTAATAGAGTATTACTCGTTACGTAGCCTGGTTGAATGAATCTAACCCAATCATGAACTTATCATGGTAGTAGAGCAGTTCTGGCCTGATTTCAACCGCCCAGGCTATGGCCCTTGACCCGTTTAATAGCCCCCAGTGCGGTTCGAGTCCCAAATTACCAGGATCTGACTAGACAAATACTACTAAGCGGTCCACTCAGCAAAATAAAACATAGTGACATGTGGTGATCTTCAATGTTGTTGCGTTCGAGCTTCAGTTTAGGTGATGGTCAGAATTACCAGAGAACAATAGGTTAGATTTGAAATAGTCCAGGGGTGAAATATTCCATTCATGCTCTTTTTGAATTCCAATGTAAAGCCAAAGGTGACACTTTTTCAGAACTAAGGTGATAGTATTACGGCTGAACCAGCCCAAGACATGTGGAAAGTGTACGGGATAGTAAAATAAAACATGAGCAAAACCATAACTTACCAAAACTCTGCCATTTCACTCGAAGGAATCTGTCTTGACAGTGACTCATAGAACAATCTCAACGGCTCCCGCTGTCATATATGAGAAACAAAACATATCAGGCAGGCGGGGGAGGAAGGTTTCTGAGCCAGAAGTGCATATTACTGCAATGAAAGACCTAACATTCTAATAATGGGATACGTATGTAGAGAGAACAGAACCTCTTCTGGAATATCAAACTTCTGTCCTGGCAAAGAATAAACTTTCTTTTCCCGAGTTCTAGTTATAGTTTTTGATGAACTTGGGGTTACCTTTGCATTAACCTTCACCTGAACAGTACCAACAGATCAAATACTCTCATTGAAATAATCATAATAAGAGCAAAAACGTTTGCTTCTTTTTTTCCTTTCAAATTGTAAAATTCCAGAGTTAATAACCAAAGACAGACGTATTGTGGATCCATTTGGAAGCAATTTCTGACTCATTCAAACATGTAGATATTGACTTACTTATTTGTCTGAAATAAACGTCACTAAAAGCTTTTCCTCTTAAAGCACCTTGAATACCTAATTCATTAATGAAAGTGGTTTGCGGTGATTCTTTAATAAAGAATTGATGATTAAAATGAAGTTACATCAAATTCTAATTGAAACTGTAAAAAAACTTATCTTTGAAAAGTAAGAACAAAATCGGTGATTTATCCAAAAATTAAGCGAAACCAAGCAAGAAGAACCACGGGTTTACCAAAAGCAAGCAATTGAATAAATGCCCAGTTCAAGTACAAAGGATACAGAAATGAGAAACGTAAACAAAAAGAATCAATCTTTGGCCAAATCTAATGAGAAAAAAGGTACCTCAGTTTTGGAAAGAGCTTTACCCTTGGCAGCAGCAGATAGTTTAGGAGTTATCTCCACAGATTTCTTCTTGACCAAAGATGATGATGGTAATGGAGAAGAATCAACCTTGGGCTTTGAAGATGACGCTGCTGCTGACCCACCACCACCGGCTTTGAGCTTCAAACCACCGGATTTAGTTTCTGCTGCCATACCAATTCTCTGATTTAAGCTGATCAACCTCTTATCGTCAAGATGTAGAGCATCACAATTGATAAATTAAAATGGATAAATGGTGTAGGGGGTAGAAAAGTAGAAAGGAAAAGTGGTACTCCCTCCCTACTTTCTTTTGGGCTCAAAGATTAAGGGAGTGATTGAACAAGTAAAAGTTGTGGTTGAAATTTGAGTAGAAAAAGGTAAAATAATGTGGACCACATATTTCTTTCCAAAAAGAGAAGTGGGACTATCAATTTGGGACGGCCCAAAAAGAAAATACGGATATATATCTCAGCTTTCATTGGTGGTGGTTATAAATCTCATACATTTTCTTTTTTTTTTTGGATGCAAAAATCTCATACATTTTCTGTTATTACTGGTGGTGCCCTGATATCGGCTTTCGGGCATATGAACAAAATCAAGAAAGTACGGAGTAGTTAATGGCCAAATTTAGCATGTATAAATTTCCTTAATCTTTTACCCTTGCTTTTTGTTTTTTACTTTAGTAATTCACCGGGATGATGGTTATTCTTAATTAGATTTTGTTCGATTAATTTTTCCATTATGAAAGGTTTTTTATATGGAAAAAACTTATGTTAATATATAAAACACTCGCATGCCACCAATCAGACAAGCAACCCTAATTCGGTCATCAAACATACGATTAAATTTAGAATTATTCGCACTATATAATAAGCACGACAATTCACTAACATTGAACGGACAACTTGAAACTTATAATAATAATGACCAGAAGAGAGAATCTTGTCTTCAGACAATAACCAAACTACCAAAGTAAAACACACACTCGTGTTGGGCTAATAAAAATAAAAATAAAACATAAATGACATTGTCTGACAAAAACACTGAAAACGAAAATAAGTAAGTGTGTCAAGTCGCGTCACAAGTCTTCAAAACAACTACGATGAGGAATAACCAATTTCGAAGCTGTTATGAGGACTCAAGAAATGAAATCAACTATGTTTTCTTACAATTAATGACAGCAATGTTGGGTGAGATAATATCTCGTTAGATATAGTCGAAAATGGATTAAGAAGTAAGAAGTTAGATCTTAGACACTCGAGTGGTAGCAATGGTCAGTCTAGGGACTCAGGTGAAGCATTGTTGGTGAGGGGTAGGTCTAAGAGTAGATCTAGAAACCATAAGAAGGGCAACAACGATAAGAACAAAAACAATGACCCGGGTAAGAAGAGAGGTAAGTCTAAAAAGAGAGTATGTTATAATTGCGGTAATTCTGGCCACGTTATTAAGGATTGTCCTAGCCCCAAGAAGTTTGAACATGCTAATGTGGTAGATGATGATAATAACTTGCATGAAGAAGTGTTTATGGTTTGTGATTTTGCCAATTTTTGTGTTGAGTAGCATGACTGAAAATAAGTGGTTGGTTGACTGTGGTTGTACTTATCATATGACACCTTTTAGATTCCTGTTTTCTTCTTATAATTCTTGCAATGATGGTTTTGTATCTCTCGCTGATAATGAGAAATGCTAAATTCATGGGGTGGGTTATGTATGCTTGAAGTTTGATAATGGGACTATGCTTACTATGAAAAATGTGAGACATGTTCCTGATTTGCGTCATAACTTGTTTTTTGTCGCTGCTTTTGAGGGTAGTGGGCTTGAGGGTAAATGGGGAAATGGGTGCATGAAAGTATTGAAAAATTCCCTTGTTTTGGTTAAAGCTAAAAAGGTGAATAACTTATATGTGTGCCATGCTCAGCCTTTCTGTGATTCTGCTCATGTTGTTAGTTCAAAGTAATAAGGGATTAGAGATTTTGAATAAATCTGGTTGTTTTGGTAAGGATTTTGTGTCCTCCATCCCTTTCTGTGAATCTTGTGTGTTAGGAAAGCAACATAAGGTTACATTCCCATCATCCCCTTACCTTAATCCCGCTAAGTGTACCTCTGTGTTAGAGTATGTTCATGCTGATGTATGGGGTCCTGCTAGTGTCTTTACCCATGGGGGTAAGAGATATTTTATGTCCATTATTGATGATTTTTCTAGGAAGGTGTGGGTCTGTCTCCTTGAGCATAAGTCTGATGTCTTTGTGAAGTTTAGGGAGTGAAAAATCCTTGTAGAAAATCAATCAGGTAAAAATGTCAAAACCCTTAGGACAGATAATGGCCTAGAGTTTTGCAATAAGAATATGGACCAACTGTGTGTTGATTGTGTGATCAGAAGGCACAAAATCGTGCCTTACACTCCCCCGAAAAAAATGGGATAGCTGGGAGAATGAATATGACTGTTTTAGATAAGGTTAGGAGTATGCTTGATAGCGCCGGTTTATCTAAAAAGTTTTGGGGTTAATACTGCTGCCTATTTGGTTAATCGATCTCCTTCTGTTCCCTTGGGTGGGAAGTGCCCTAAGTCTCTTTTTTCAAACAAACCCCTTGATTTGTCTAATCTTAGAGTGTTTGGGTGTGCCGCGTATATGCACCAACAAGGTGACAAATTGGATCCTAAGGCTACGAAAGGAGTCTTCTTAGGTTATCCTGAGGGTGTGAAAGGGTATAGGGTTTAGGATAGAAACCAGGTAGGTTTCAAAATTGTGGTAAGTAGAAACGTTGTTTTCAATGAATCTTAGTTTCCTTGTCTAGTTAAGTCAGTTCCTGATTCTGAGTCTAGTCATAGTAGTACACCCGTTGAGGTGGAGTCCATACCATATGTTGTTAGTCCTTTGTTTGCATGATTCTGATTCTTCTGAATTGCATGATTCTGATTCTTCTGAGCATGATAATACCACCACTTCGAGTGAGGTGGAGCATTCTCATGTGTATTCAAATGAAAATGAATCGCATGATGAGAATGCTGATTCTAGTGAAAATGATTTGCATGGTTATCAACTTGTTAGAGATAGAAGTAGGAAAGTAATTAGGAGAACTGCGGATAGTATTCCTGATTATGCTTTCCATATGTGTGATACTTCTATGTTTGTTATCTCTGTGTTTGAGACCCTTGAGTTTAATGAACCTAGAACTTATAAAGAGGCCCTTAAGTCTAATGAGTCCGCTAAATGGCTTTGCGCCATGGAAAGTGAGATGGAGTCACTGAGAGCGAATAAGACACGTTAGTTCCTAGACCGCCCAATAGTTCTGTTGTTGCGTGTAAATGGCTATTTAAGGTTAAGGAAGAACCTAATGACATTAGATATAAGGCTAGGCTTGTAGCTAAGGGATTTACTCAAAAGGAAGGTGTTGATTATGCTGAAATCTTTGCTCCTGTTGTTAAATTTACTACAATTAGAATGATGTTTGCTTTTGTTGCTCATAATGATTGGGAAATGAAACAAATGGACGTCACCACTGCTTTCTTGCATTGTGATTTCGACAAGAAAATCTATATGTCCCAGCATGAGGGCTTTGTGGATCCCATAAAGAGTGATCATGTGTGTTTGCTTAGGAAGGCCTTGTACGGCCTGAAGCAGTCCTTTAGGCAGTGGAATATCAAGTTTGACCAATGCATGTCATCTTTGAAATTCCATAAGTCTGAATGCAACCATTGCCTATACTTTAAAAATACTTCTTTTGTGCCTGTATTTTTTTTTTGCTATATGTGGATGATATGTTGATTGTTAGTCCTTCGGGTGACGCCATTAAATGTGTGCAAAAACATCCCAGTGAGAACTTTGCAATGAAAGACCTAGATGATGCCAAAAGGATCCTACGCATTAACATTGTTAGGGATAGGAGTAAGCATGTGTTAGTACTCAATCAGATTTCATACATTGAAAAGATTTTGAGTAAATATAACATGCATTCGATATGCTACTCATGTATTTATCCCTATGTCATCTCACTTTGTGATAAGTAAGGATCGGTCTCGGGAGACTGCTCCTGTAATTGCTAAAATGAAATATGTGCCTTATTCCAATGTTATTGGGTCCGTGATGTATCTCATGGTGAGTACTAGACCCAACATTGCATATGTTATTAGTTGCTTGAGTAGGTATATGTCTAATCCCGGTTTAGACCATCGGAATACTCTTAAGTGGTTGCTTAGATACTTGAAATCAACAGTTAATCATGGGTTGGTTTTCACTAGGTGTTATGGGGGTATTAAGTTGAGTGGGTAGGTGGACTCTAATTTTGCTAACGATAGAGACAATAAGAAATCCATTACCTCTTATGTGTTTACTCTTTGCGGGTCTTGCATTAGTTGGAAGTCTCAACTTCTACTCATAGTTGCCCTTTCCATTACTGAGTCAGAGTATGTGGCCGCTACCGAAGCGTTTAAGGAAGCCATTTGGCTTAAGCGTCTCCTAACGGAGACTGATAGTCTTAAATAGGACATTTGCGTGTTTTCTGATAGTCAATTTGCTATTCAACTGTGCAAAAACTCTGTTTCTCATGATAGAACTAAGCATATTGATGTTAGAATTCATTTTATATGTGATATTGTTAGTGCAAGTCATATCAAGTTGATTAAAATTTCATCTGAGTTTAATCCTGCAGACATGGGGACTAAATGTCTCTCTGTCGAAAAACTGTTGTCGTGCAAACGCACGTTAAACATTGATTGCGGAAAAGTTGCCTGGTGATCTTACCCCTTTTGCCTGTAATGTGTCTCTGTGATCATTCAGGCAATCCAACGATGATGAGTCTCAAATATGTATTAGAGTTTTGAGTCTACACCACTAGGGTCCAATAAGGTGGAGAATGTGTTGGTATTGGCCTAACCATTTCTATAAGCCCATTTACCTTTTCATTGGAACCGGCCTGTTGGTTGAGTGACATCTCGATCGATTGCTTCCTTCAGCCTTCCTTGTTCGTCACTCAACCAACGGGCCGGTTCCAATGAAAAGGTAAATGGACTTATAGAAATGGTTGGGCCAATATCAACAAGCAATAAATTGACTAAAACCGAAAATCAAAGTAACGATAGTTATATAATTGAGAAATTAATAATTAAGTATCAAGAGCACTATTTTAAAAATCGCTCTAGGCGCCCGGCTAATCCCTGCCTGGGCACTAGGCGGTGGTCGGGAGTCCCGATTTTAGTCTAGGTGCTCCGACTAGGTGTATCGGTCGACCGCCTAGGGCACCTAGTTGCCTACTTGC